CCTCAGCACAGGACTGGGACTGGCTCTTAAAACTTGGCTTAGCTCAGTGACCAAAGCCTCACGCACTGTGTGTCTTTATTTTCTTATTTCCTTTTATTGGGAAAATGACTACACTGTAATTTGATATTTTAGAGCCATAGTGTAACTAATCCAAATTATTATGGTGATATAATAAAAGCTTCTCAACACATACAATAGAGTGCTTGTCTCCACATGAATGATTTAAGTTTTCTTTCTTGGATGGCATCATATTTTCTGTTGTTCCTGTCTGTATAAGTCGTCAGGCTATTTCTGAGTAAAATAGTGAAACACAACAGATCTGCCTCTGAGAGAGGGTTAACACTGTTTCCTTAATGTGTGCAAAAAATATCAACTCATGGATTCTGTATTCCTTTCCAGTAAAAGATTTTATTGCTGAATAGTTCCTATAGGAAAAATAAATATTTGCAATCAGAATTTTTAAATTTGGTTTATTGTTTCAGCCTTATGGCTTTTGTCAGATTATTGTTTCCTTTTAATTCCAAAATTACTACACCTCTCTCAGCACCACTTTTTATATCCGGATCTTTATTTGGAAGAGAGCAGATACTGGAGGAAAAAAACAGAATACATTCCATGTTTCTTTGCCAAAAGAGCTCTTGACCTGTGAATGAAGTATGGAACAGTTGTGAATGAACTCCAGAAATCCTAAAGCTAGAGGGCTTAATTTTGGAAAGTGCTAAGTAATTCAGTCTACTTCTACCATGACGTTTAAGCATCTGCTTCATGTTAAGCACAAAAGGATTTCACTGGGTAGAGTTTGCTACCAAGCCCAGCTGAGCAGCTAAGCTGTTCATTCCCCCTCTTGCACTTACCCTGCTTTTAACTAAGGGAAGAACAGCTGAAACAGAACTAGACTTGGGGGAATCTACTTAGTAAAAAAAAACACTCTAGCAGCTTATTCATTTTTCCTTCCATTAGCCAGTGGTCAGTAACACCACAACTTTCATGCTAACCACGTGGAGTATTTCATCCCTTGTCATTGCCTCCATGCCATTACACAGTCCTTTTCCATAGGGTTAAAACAACTGCAATAGGCGCGTGTGTTTATTTTGGCTTGCCAGGATCTGCAGAGCTGATGTGAACCTTTGCCTACTGATTTTACAGTCAAGAACACAGATTCTCAAGGCTAAGGGAGATCCTGAACATCAGACTCTAAATTGGTGTCACCAAGCAGATAGTTAAGAGATGGATATCATATGTGAATGCAAATTATAAAAGTCACCTTTCTTCTCTACCTTTCACTGGAAAAGCTAGAGATTGGGTCCAGCTTTGAATACACCTTTATGGAGATGCCGGCTAACTGGAAGGAGATATCAGAAGGCAAATAGGATGAATCCCAGAAAATATGAGCTGTGAAAGAAGGCTGTGAGATTTATGTACAGCAGTTTTAAGGAAGAGCTTATCCTAGTCTCTAACCTAGATGGTGGGATGAATTCCCCATCTTTAGCCTTACCATTAAAACTCACCTCTGTGAGTGTCAGAGTTTCTGTGACTCCAAGTCCTTGGTGACTGTAACAAGAAATGGAGGCACCATGCCACTCCTTGTATCACCATTTGCAGGTCAATTGTAATAACATATTTTAAGTGAAGATCATCCACCAGGCTTCTATAAAAACAGCATGTCATTCAATGTGAACTGTTGTTATATGTGAGCTTCCAGTTTATTCTTCTAGACTCTGCACAGAGAGCTGAAAGCACATTTCTTACAGCCCAGAATCTGACATGGCCTGAAACTAACTTACGAATCTGGAGTTTTGCTCTGTAGCTTCTTCTTTCCCTCCCTTTGCAGTGCAATATGGTCCCAGCAAGGCTGTTGGAGCTGCCTGCCCTTACACAGCTCTAGGAAGGTGGAAGCAGCCCAGAGCCTTCCAAGAAGAGCTTGTCTCTTGCCCCTGAGCTCCAGGCAAAAGAGTAGTTACTGCAGCAAAAAAAAAAGCTCTGTGTTTCCTTTGCTTTTCCTGCTGCAACCTCTTAGTGCTTCTCTGAGGTTAAATGGAAAATTTTCCTCTCCAGTAAAATACCGGCTTTCAGCTTTTTATTTCCTCGAGAAAAGGAAATAAACATTCACTTTGGTACAAACTGTGATTTTTCCAGATCTGGAAACAGCAACAAAATTTTAAAAAAAACCAAAACAACCACAAAACAAAGGACTGCTCACCTAGTCCTCATCTGTTTGCTGCCTCCTCCTTTTCTGTGACATAGATCACCCCTCTCCTCTTCTCCTTATAGAGCTTCAAATTGCATTCATTTTCCCGAAGTTTGTGACTAAAATAATGATATATTTGGATTTTTAAGTTCCTAACTCAGTGCAGACATGCTATTCGGCACTTTCACTCTATACAAAGGTCACTTAAAAATGTCATGAGAGCTGGAGACTTTCCAAAACAGGAAAAGTGCAACAGAACTGATAGGGTTGAAGGCAAAAAACAATAAGGCAGGTGGTACAAATCAACACAGAAATGGAGCACTTTGGGATACTGGTGTCATAAAGCAATTGTTGGGGTCTCCCAGAGAATTTAGAGTCAATATGAACTGTGTAGACTCAATGTTGGTTTTATGTCTTACTGTAAATTAATTTTTCTTTTTTCCTAAACTTTTTTCATGGGCCAGATACTTATGGAATGAACATCTAGATGGAGGTGTGATGCCTGTGTCTTAAGTGTACTTTCACATTGACAACTGAGTGCCCTGGCTTGTGTATGCACTTTATCTAGGAATATCAGTAGCCTGACACTGGCATATAAACACAATATTTAAAGCAATCAGCTTGACCTAGTGCCCACCCCAGGTAATGAAAGCCTGGCTGATTTCAGAGGATCACTCTCACACTCTTCTCCCATTGGTCACTCTGCAGTTGCTGTAAGGGTCTGTCACACCTCACTTTGCCGCATCTCCTGAGGCGGTGGGAAACATCTGCATGGGGGATTTGTCCTCTAGTTGCTGCAGGCCTGCTAGCATCACCTGCCTCTGCCCTGCTTGGTCTCTCCTGGGGCAGGAGATGTGGCATGATGAGAGCCTGCCCCAGCCCCCGTTGTTCCCATAGGGAGCAATTGTGACAACTGGCAAATTGCCACAAATGGGCAATTTGTGACAGCCAGCATCTCCTGGTGATGTGTAGCTAAACCTGGGATGCCCTGCCCTGCACCCCAGTCTTTTCCATGCTGAGAGGAGCAGAGAAGAAAGGTGAAGCCACCGACTGTCCTGCACAGGAATCTTTCTCCCTGTTGATATCTTAGGTAGCAACTTTGAACTTCCCTTGGCTGTATTAGGTTAGTTCATTTGGGGGGCAACTGTATTGATGAAAAAATAATTTATAGCAATTCAGGGGCTTAGCATGTGGCTTTTTCTGC